TATATATATATATATAGGCTACCAAAGAAACAAAAAAATACCATGAAAAGTGTAAAAAGAAGCTGATGTCACTGTCTGTACTTCTGTAAAAAGTCCAACTTGTTCCCTTGAACCTTACTATAAATGGTCCTTAACCTGATGAGCTCATCTCCAGTTGTAGCAACACGATACTTTTGATATTTTGTCTCCAACAAAAGTTAAAAACGGAGCCACAAACTGGTAGAGTCTGAGACAGATGAGCTGCATAAAATGTATGAAACACTGCACCATACCTCTTTGCTCAGGGTGCAAATGCCACAGGGTAGTGTGCCAAATACATTTTTATGCTWCTTAAGGAGAATGTCTGACTCACATTCTAATAAATTCCTCATTTTCCTGCATCCAGACAGCATTGTTAATTGTGCAGACAGGAAAATAACACATGTGGCACATATTTGCATCTATTTGTATTTTTGAATGATAGCATATCAGGAAAGGTGTTTTATGTGCACTCAGCTCCCTGTTTGTTGGGCTGTATGAAGGAAAGGTGCACGGAAACTTGTATACACCGTTTGATCAATCTGATGTTTTTGTGCGCACAGTTTTCACATTTTGTCCCTATATGCCAGGTTTCAGTGTGAAAACTCTTTGTGAAATTTGTGAATGCTGTTTGACACAGCAGCCCAGATGTTTTGAACTGGGGTTCACTAGAAAAGGTTGAAGCCATTTAATATCTAACCTGTTGTGGATAACTTTGTGAACAACTCCAGTTTGGAGAAATGTGGAGTAGTTCTGACTAAACTGATGAGCTAAGGTCAAATAAGTTTTCTGCTGTTTCAAAACAACTCCAGTCTCCATATTTTCATAATGGGTCATTTGCATAGGAATCCATGGGCATTTTCAAGCTAAAAATAAAATGCCTGCAGAAAAAGCTAGCTGTAGCAGTTCAATTCAGTTCAATTCAATTCAATTCAAAAATACTTCATTGATCCCAAAGGGAAAGCCTGAGGCATTTTTAACAGGACTATCAAATTGTTGCTGAAAAACTATGTAGCCTAATGCAAATCTGTGTTAGCATAATCTGCTATGAAACTTTTCAGACTGAAGTTGTTTTTACTTTAATCTTGGCTTATCTGATCTGTTTCTGTTAGTTTGTCTGGTGCTCAGAACTAATCTATTTTTCGCCATACTGAAACTGTTCAATGTCCTTTTGCACAACTGAGAAGACAATTCATGCTCTCAACTTTTTCACAGAAYGCCACTTCAACAAAACTAAGCTGTTGATTTTCATTTACATCTATTTGTTAGAAGTTGACTTGAGTATTTTGGTAACTGAAAGCTATAAGGTCAGCAGAAGAAAATTTGATTCACTGATGGCTGTTGCTGAATCACATCAAGCCAGCATGTCCTTCCACTTCTAAAAGAGCTGTTAATGTCAGCCCATGGAAATTAAAAGACAGGTGAATACTGTTGCAGATGCAAAAGCTGGATTCAGTAAATTTTCTAATAAACCAATTAAACAGGGACATAATGAAAGAAACTGTCTCAATCATCACATTAAACATATGCAAGAACCAATATTGTTTCTTTTTTTTAAAGATGTCTAAAGGACCAGCAGTAGGAATTGACCTGGGCACCACCTACTCATGTGTTGGAATCTTCCAGCATGGCAAAGTGGAGATTATTGCCAACGACCAAGGAAACAGGACCACGCCTAGTTATGTGGCTTTTACAGACACAGAGAGACTTATCGGAGATGCTGCCAAGAACCAGGTGGCCATGAATCCATCCAACACTGTATTTGGTAAAATAAAATAAAAAAAGAAAGAAAACAATCATTTAAAAAATAAGGTACTCGCCAGTACACCCAAACATGTCCTTTACTAAATCTTGTTAAATTTACTCCAGATGCCAAGCGTCTGATTGGTCGCAAGTTTGACGATCCTGTGGTGCAAGCTGACATGAAACACTGGCCCTTCAAGGTTATTAATGACTCCACAAAACCCAAGATGGAGGTTGAATATAAGGGTGAGATCAAGACCTTCTATCCCGAGGAGATTTCCTCAATGGTCCTCACCAAAATGAAAGAGATCTCTGAAGCTTATCTTGGAAAGGTATAARACAATAATCTGCCATATTTGAATATCTCTGTCTTAAGATTCATTGCTCATTAACTGAATTTCTTCTCTTTTTTTCAGCCTGTGACCAATGCAGTTATAACAGTTCCTGCTTACTTCAATGACTCCCAGCGCCAAGCCACCAAAGATGCTGGAACAATCTCTGGTCTCAATGTGCTGCGTATCATTAATGAACCCACAGCCGCTGCCATTGCTTACGGCCTGGACAAAAAGGTAGGGGACTATTAAAATGCTAAACTCCTCCTTTTTTTGTTCTTCTTTTTAATTCCTTCCATTTATCTTAGGTTGGAGGTGAGCGCAATGTCCTCATCTTCGATCTTGGAGGTGGTACTTTCGATGTGTCGATCCTGACGATCGAGGACGGTATATTTGAAGTCAAGGCCACAGCAGGTGACACACACTTGGGCGGTGAGGACTTTGACAACCGTATGGTCAACCACTTTGTCGCCGAGTTCAAGCGCAAGTTCAAGAAGGACATCATCAACAACAAGCGGGCCGTGCGTCGTCTGCGCACAGCTTGCGAGCGTGCAAAGCGCACCCTCTCCAGCAGCACCCAGGCCAGCATTGAGATCGACTCGCTCTTCGAAGGCACGGACTTCTACACCTCCATCACCAGAGCTCGTTTTGAAGAGCTCAACGCGGACCTGTTCCGTGGAACGCTCGAGCCCGTAGAGAAGGCCCTGAGAGATGCCAAGATGGACAAATCCCAGATCCACGACATTGTCCTGGTGGGTGGATCCACACGTATCCCCAAGATCCAAAAGCTTCTGCAAGACTTCTTCAATGGTCGCGACCTAAACAAGAGCATCAACCCAGATGAGGCTGTGGCATACGGAGCAGGTAGGTCTTTACAGAATTGAGTCTWAATCAGCTGTCAAATGTAATTAAATGTCATTTAGTGTTTCCATTTCAAGCTTTCTAATAATAGTGCTTTCTTTATTTGGAAACTGCCAGCTGTACAGGCAGCCATCTTGGCCGGTGATAAGTCTGAGAATGTCCAGGACCTGCTCCTGCTGGACGTCACACCCCTGTCCCTGGGAATTGAAACAGCTGGAGGAGTGATGACTGTCCTTATCAAAAGGAACACCACCATCCCGACCAAACAAACCCAGACCTTTACCACCTACTCAGACAACCAACCTGGTGTGCTCATTCAGGTAGAGCACAGTTCACAAAAACCTTCTTGAATTTTCCTTATGTTTAATAAGATTAAAAAAACACCCCTGATTTAAATAATTCTTACAGGTCTATGAAGGTGAAAGAGCCATGACTAAGGACAATAACATCCTGGGGAAATTTGAACTGACCGGTATTCCACCTGCTCCCAGAGGCGTCCCTCAGATTGAGGTGACCTTTGACATTGATGCCAATGGTATCCTCAATGTGTCCGCAGTGGACAAAAGCACAGGAAAGGAGAACAAAATCACCATCACCAATGACAAAGGTTTGACCACACTTAAAGGATGACAAATCTTTTAAATGGATCTTTGACGACTTGCATATATTGGTCTCAATATGTTGTTTCTCTAGTCTACTAAAAATTGTTGTTTGTGACATGGAAAAACAGCTAATCACTTAAAATATTATCTGTTTAATACATTTTTCACTTTAGCATGTTGCCATTTTGTTAATGACTCAATGCATTTTGGGGATGATGATATGTTACAGTTGAGACAAACACAGAGTCAAGGCAAAAAAGCTATAATGTGTCAATGGCTGATGATGGACAATGTCCTAAATTATTGTTAAAGCTGGCTAGAGATTGCACCAGAGGATGTAGTAAGCATCATCATTTTCCCAGTTTGCTTTGCGGTGTACATACATGGCAACATTAATGTAACAATATTTTTTTTAATTTATAAATRCTAAACAGACTACAGTATTTGTATATGCATTTCAAATAATGTCTAATGTTACAACTAGTCTGAGTTCCCTTTAAAACAAATGGGTGAATGTTCTATATAAACATGGATATTAAGTAACATTTTTGTATTTTATACCCAAACAGGGCGGCTGAGCAAGGAGGACATCGAGCGCATGGTGCAAGAAGCAGAGCAGTTCAAGTCTGAGGATGAAGCTCAAAGGGACAAAATCACAGCCAAAAATTCCCTCGAGTCTTTGGCCTTCAACATGAAGAGCACTGTAGAAGACGAGAAGCTCCAGGATAAGATCAGCCCCGAGGACAAAAAGACTATCGTGGACAAGTGCAATGAAGTGATTTCATGGCTGGATAAAAACCAGGTAAACACATAAATATAACAGTGAGATTACATAGCAGAGAACAGCTTCCTCTTTTGTTCAAATTGTAAAATGAAAGGTTGGCAGAATTTAGTGAATGTCCACTTCCCTTTTGCAAAGTTCTTCTTAATGCAGTGGTCAGATTGTAAGAAATTCCCTCTTTTTTTAACACAGACGGCCGAGAAGGAAGAGTACGAACACCAACAGAAGGAACTCGAGAAAGTGTGCAACCCCATCATCTCCAAGCTGTACCAGGGTGGTATGCCCGGGGGAATGCCCGGAGGAATGCCTGGTGGCTTTCCCGGCGGAGCGGGTGCTGGAGCCAGTTCTTCTTCTGGCCCAACTATCGAGGAGGTTGACTAAACAGAACCTGTTTATCTCATCGATATTAACCACATACATTCAATCTTATATAGTAGTTGTCCCAAGCATGTTTTATTCACCAAAAGAGATTTTCTGTAACTGTTAGACCACAAAGCTATCTTTTCTTGAATTCTCGCACGACTTCTTAGAAATTTAACTTAAAAATTAATTTGCAGTAATTCTTTTAGTTTTCCACTTGTAATCTGCACAACCACTCTCAAAAAGGGATGCTTAAACTATTACTGAGTCATAAAATCAATAAAGGCTCTCTAATGTAATTTCTGTTTGTCATGATTATTTTCTTGAATGACTTGGAGCGTCAACCACAAGTGTGCAGAAAGATGGTTATCACGCCTCATGACACATTGTCTTGCAGACGGACTTTGGTTTTGAAAATGCACCTCAAGAGGTTTTGATCTGTATCCTGTWTGATAAACAGTCTGTTTCACAGAGTCATTCAAAAGATTTGTCAAAAAAACAAGCTTCTGCAATTATGTCAAGTTGAGGACATTTTGGACATTATTTTGCTGCATCTTGTATTTAATTTCACACGAGAATTAGAACTGAGATGCAAACTTAAATTAATTTGATGCAAAGTCAATTTAATGTTAAAGCAATGGTTTTTTTTCTTGGAATGGAACAATTTTCAGATGGCAATGCACCACAGTGGTTCAAGAAGTTGCCTCACAGCAGTAAAAACCAGTGTAAATACAGTATGTCGGTGTTAAAATTTTCAGAGTTAACTCCCCTAGTGTTATTTTTAACACTTTGAGTAAACTGACATCCAGAGTTAGTGTTCATTCACAGTGTTGATTTCCTCAGTGTAGGAGGGGGACAATTGAAAACGGAGGCCTCCACCTCTGTTTAATGATGGACAGTCTTTCTTCACAAAAATGGCTTCTTTTACTCCTCTCTCAAACCAACGTTCCTCTCTATCAAGAATGAGAACATAGAGATAGAGAGGAACGTTGGTTTGAGAGAGGAGTAAAAGAAGCCATTTTTGTGAAGAAAGACCGTCCATCATTAAACAAAGGTGGAGGCCTCCATTTTCAGTTGTCCCCCTCCTATAGTGCTGCTATTGCCAGTATCACTCGACCCCCTGTTAACAATAGGTGTTAATTAGGTGTCAATGATAGCCATGTGATGTGAGTATCAGTCACATGGAGGCAGTGCTTAAAAGCCTGAATTTTGCCTGAAACTCTCAGACTGAAGAAGTCTCTTGAGAGACGAAACGTTTCATTAGAGAAGAACCCGTCCAGAAGACCTATACAATTTTTTCTTTTTGATTTTTTACCTGGATTACTGAGATGCATCAGGACTCCAGTGTTAACCATCAATAACTCAATTCAATTCAAATTCAAAAATACTTTATTGATCCCAGAAAGAAATTAGGTTAATCCCAGAGGGAAATTAGGTAAATGCAGTGATGGAAAGCATGAGAATCAGTGTTGATTCATCACCACAGTGGGGTACCTTATTAACTCTGCTTAGAATCATATCTACTCTCAGAGTTATTTGACTTGAAGTGTTAAGTTTTATTAACACTGTACAGTGTTAGTCAGTGTTAATTTTTAACTCTGTTTAGAGTTAAATTGTACTCTGAAAATTTAACACTATGGAAAGAGTTAAATTGACACCAATTCAGACAAGGACCGAATAGACTCAGTTAAATTTAACGTGTGTTGATTTAACACTGCAAATTTTTCTTCCACAGACCAAAAACATGCCTGGTAGGTTATTTTTAGGTGTGAGTGAGAATGGGAGTGGGTGTTTTTGGTCCTATTTTCCTTTGTGTGATCTTGTGATGGACTAATGACCTATCCAGGGTGTAACCCGCCCCTCACAAAGTGACTGCTGGATATGGGCTCCCTGTGACCCAGTGAGGAGGAGCGGTAAAAAAATGGATGGATGGATGGATGGATGGATGGATGGATGGATGGATGGATGGATGGATGGATGGATGGATGGATGGATGGATGGAATTTTTTTGTTCATGTTTGGTTTTAAACTCTCCAAAGGTACTTATCACCAGATGGTCACTTCACAAGCTGAGGCAGGGAGAACATGAATGTGGGTGGAGCCGCTGTTAACCCCCATACTCAGAATTCAGGGTCAAACGTGGGAGATAAACCTATAAAAGACTTTGTGCTAAACAGCTAATACACAGAGACTTAGGTGTTGYTCAATTCACAGTTATGTTCCTGCTCATTTTCTGTTTTGCCCTTGTGGCCACTACACTGGGTAAGTACAACATTTATGTTCAACCAAATAGTTTGAGCATYTAGTATTTTGACATTAGTSTTTTGCCTTTTGATATCACTGGGCTTCAGGCTGTGGAGTGCCAGCCATCAAGCCCCAGGTGAGTGGATACAACAAGATTGTGAATGGTGAGACTGCTGTGTCTGGATCCTGGCCCTGGCAGGTTTCTCTTCAGGTATGTGACCTGCTCGTCAGAAACACCGCAACCAGATAATGTGATAAACGTGGACAGGTTTAAATAGGCATCTGTTCAATTTTAGGACGGCACAGGATTCCACTTTTGCGGAGGATCCCTGATCAGCCAGTACTGGGTGGTCACTGCTGCTCACTGCCGWGTGTCGTAAGCTGACTGTGCTTCATAACAGGGCAATAAAATAACACTAAATGGGGTGAGTAGGGATCCAAAACTATTTTCTATTTCCTCCAGTCCATCGAGTCACCGTGTTATTCTGGGCGAGCATGATCGTCAGTCCGGCACTGAGCCACTTCAGGTCAAAGCCATTGCCAGGGTAAGGAAAGACATCTCGAAGATTTCCAGCTGAAAATTTCAGCTTTTGTCTGTTGTTCTGTGTTTGTTYATCATTTTATTCTTGCTTCTCCCTCCAGGCCATCACTCACCCCTCCTACAACTCCTACAACTTTAACAATGACATCACACTTCTGAAGCTGTCCTCCCCAGTGCAGATGACCACCCGCGTGTCTCCAGTGTGCCTGGCCTCCTCCAGCACCAGCATCCCAGCTGGAACCAAATGTGTCACCACYGGATGGGGCAGGACCGGGCAAACCTGTAAGTTAGTGGGGGAAAAAATGCACTGCTGTTTACATCTGAAGTCTTATCTATGTCTGTTTTACAGCGAGCCCCCGTTATCTGCAGCAGACTGCCCTGCCTCTGCTCTCCCCGGCTCAGTGCAAGAATTACTGGGGTTATGACAGAATCACAGACGCTATGATCTGTGCTGGTGCTTCTGGAGTCTCCTCCTGCCAGGTAACGAGCATTTCAAAGTTCAAAAAAGTTGTTGCATTTTTATACAACAATACATATTTAAAAATCACATTTGCTCTAATGAGACAAAAATAATAATAATCTGAAACGTGTATTAAAAAGTTTGCACTATTTCATTTGAAAACATTATTGAGGGAAAAGTAAGCTGCAGCTTGAMGTGGCGAAAACATAATGCAGCTCAATGCTGCGGAAACTTTTGTTTTTCATAAGCAAAAATGCTAACAAAAATATTAGCTTTAGCACTGCTACAGGGAAGCGCACAACATACAACAAAAASCAGATATCTACATTGTCAATTGTTCTTGTTTACATATATGCTAGCATTAGCATTGTAGCACAGCTRGCTACTGTAGGTGTTTTTCAAACTCCCATGAGACATTGTTTTTGAAAGACATATTATACTAATAGACCAAATGTTCCTTCTTCTCATTCTTGGGAACTGAAGCCAACAGAAACTATTTCAAGGAAATTGCTATGTTTTTGTTTTTTTTTTGTAACCGGTTTATGCACTGGTGATATGAGGCATTAAGCCCCGCCTACTACAAACACATGGTGTTATGTGACCTTTCTTTTAGGTAAACCAACTTCAATGAAACATGTTAGTAAAATTAATGTTTGTACATTGGACAGCATGGGAAGAAATAACCAACAATGAGTTAACGAGTTAACACCTGAAATAAAAATATCAGAGACATGTTTTTGTTTTTTAACAAAATCCTGTTCATTTACATGGAAGAGACGGGACTACAATGTTGTACTGTAACCAGTAACAGGGAAGCTGGTCCCATCCTGGATTCTGCTTCCGTGTTTCAGGTCTGAGGTCTACCTATTGTCCATGTTGCTTCCAACGTAAGGCAATGACTCGTAAAATAACCTGTTTATTGTCTTTTGCTTAGCAACATATATTATTTTCTAGAGACACAGAAATAAAATGTGAATGCTGCAGTACAAGTTTAAATTTATGCAAACAAACAAGACAAAAAAATAAAAACATACTTTCTTAAGGTATTGTATACTGTTGATTTACGTAGATTTTACATCCCCTTTTCACACCCCAATTGCACCAATAATCCAGATCCTGCAGGTTTTAGTATTCAGAGATGGTTGTCTGTCTTATTTTATGTCAATGTTTTTGCCATGTGACAAGCATTTATTAAATGATTACTGTACTATAATGTATGTTTAAATGTTGATGCTGCTAAGTTACTGTTTACATACTACGGAGCCCACGAAGGGACATGGGGGATTTTTTTCCTTTTGCGACCCACACAATACCTTTGCGTTCCCTCGCAATACTTTTGCGTTACCTCCCAATACCTTTGCGTTCCCACGCAATGCCTTTGCATTCCCTCGCAATACTTTTGCATTACCTTGCAACACCTTCATGTTATATTAATATTGTTTTGCGTTCCCACGCAAAAGTTTGTTTTGAATATGTGTCGCCACAAGTTTGTGAAAATRACATTGATGTTGCGTGGCTGCACTGTGTTAAAATATTGGCATACGACATACTTCCATGCATAGTTGTGTGATATATTCATTCTGAAGCTGAATTAAAGCAGTAGGCTAACTCGCTAATGGTAAACATGAGTTTGTTAATAAACCRGCAGGCACAACAGTGATAAACTACTTTTGCAAGGGAACGCAAAAGGTATTGCGAGGTAACGCAATACTATTGCGTGGGAACGCAAAAGAAAAATAATTTCCTGTGTCYCCTCACGGGCTCCGTAACATACAGAATTCATGGTAAGCAACATCCCCCCCCACCAAAAAAAAATCCTATTGGATTGTGCTGAGGTGTCATCAAAATAAACGTATCAGTAATTCAGCAACCATGCTCTTCATACCTGTTTTTGAAATCATTCAGCCCACATTCTGCACAAAACCTGTCCAGAACTGAAGGTTTTACTGAAAAATTCACCGCAAAGTTAAAGTAACAAAATCAATTTTAACCACTAATGTGTTTCATTCTATAGGGTGACTCTGGTGGCCCTCTGGTCTGTGAAAGCAGTGGTGTGTGGTACCTTGTGGGTATTGTGTCGTGGGGTACCAGCAACTGCAACGTGCAAACTCCTGCAGTGTACTCCCGCGTGTCCTACCTGCGCAGCTGGATCGACCAGACCGTTGCTTACAACTAAAGTGCAACACAGTGTTGTATATGCAATGACCTCAGTGTCTTACTGCATCAAGATAAACTGGATAGAAATGTTTCTGCTGTCCATGAATGGTACCAGTGTCACACTGTTCTGCCTTTTGGTCCATTTCTTAGATATCAAGCATTAAACTCTGTAAGATGTCTAATGATGGTGTCATTTCCTTTTTTAAACAAACTCAGTTTTGTGTACATGCATTTGTTATTTTGTGGGGACCATTTGGGCAGTGGCGGATGCTGGTCTTTCACGAAGAGGAAGCTCAGTTTCGGCCTACATAATAAAATGTGTCGCTTTATAAATTCTACCCTCTGTTCCTTTTCAAGAAAATGATCTGTGGCCCTGTCACCTAATCCTTTTTTCCAGTGTACCATATAGTTTTGTAGTGCTTTTAGAAAATGGCATGTAACAGAAAACAGGCTAAAAGATTTGTGTGACACGCTGACCTTTAACTCTTAGACTAGTTTCATATCAGTTAATGTACCTGGATTTCAAGAAAATAATCCAAAACCTATAGAGAATTAATGTTCCTTATTATAATTTTCAGAAAGAAAACATTGGGTGTGCATCTACAACTGATTAACTTCTAAAGTCAACCCAGTTCAAGGAGTCCATGTTCCCTGGTATCATTGCTCTCTTGGGGTTTAAAATGAAAGTCATGAAAGATGCTTGTCTCCCCCTTCCAATGTCTTAAAACAAATGGAGAAAATGCTGAATTAAAATGCAGACTATGTCTCACAATCTGAGTAAAAAACAAATGAAAAAACATTGTTTTTTAGTGCAGGCATTCTATCAGAGAAAACAGGGATCCAGGGAACACAGATACTGAGGAACATAGGAATGCCTGGGGGACCATCGGGGCATGGGGGTGTACCAGGAAACACGGGGATCTGGGGAACGATACTTGGAGACAAAGGGATGGCCCCAATTTAAGATGACCACTATCAACATTAGCAAACTGAAAAGTTGCTATAACTGTTATGAAGGGCTTTGGTTGGTTAGAACCCCAAGTGTAGAACTGAAATGATCTTGGCAAAAAAGGTGCAAAGGGCTTTA